GCGGGGCGGCGCCGGGGCGGGCGGAAGGAGCGCCAGGCCGGAAGGAGGCATCGGAGGGCGGGAGGGAGGAGCGGGCCCGGAGCTACTGGGCCGGAGCGGCAGAGCCGCCATGACCGACAGCGAGAAGCTCAACCTGGACTCTATCATCGGGCGCCTGCTCGAAGGTTGGCTGGGGTGGGGGAGGTGGGCGCCCGCTGTGCCCTAACCCCCGGCCTGGCCCGGAAGTGGCACGCGGGAGGACTTGCCCCTCCCAGGCCAGCTTAGACTGGGCGGGGACGGGCCGCGAAGTCCCGCGGCCGCAGCCGCCCCCCCTCAGTCGCGGCGAGCCTGGGAGGGGGGTCTGGGGGTGCTTGGGCACGGGGAGCAGCCCCCTCTACTGGACCGGGGGCGCACGGGTTGGCCTGGCTCCTGGGGTGAGAGCGAAACCTGAGAAGCCTAGCCCCCCGGGGAAGGGGTCCTGCGCTGTAGGGTTTTGGGTGGCAGTCCTTGCGCACAGCAGCCCCCTCGAGCGCCTTGAGGGTAGTTGGGGTCCCGTCCCGGGAGGCTCAGCAACAGCTGCCCCCAGCCAGGAGGGGCCCAGGAGTCCAGGCGCCCCCAGGAGTGCACGTGGGGCATCCGTACCACCTACCCTCCTCCTGCCTGAGGGACCTGGGTCCTGACACCCCACTCCGCCTCCAGTGCAGGGCTCCCGGCCTGGAAAGAATGTACAGCTGACAGAGAACGAGATCCGTGGTCTGTGTCTTAAATCCCGGGAGATTTTCCTGAGCCAGCCCATTCTTCTGGAGCTGGAGGCACCCCTCAAGATCTGCGGTGAGACCCCCGTTCAGGTCCTTTTACTTCCTGAAGGTGTCATTGCTGCTGTTCCCCGCCCCCCTCCCCCCAAATCCATGGATTCCTCTTCTCTTGGCCAGCCCAACCCTAGCCCTGGGTTCAAGTCTAGACCCTGAACCTAATGCTGACCTGGTTCCCTGGGTCACAGGTGACATCCATGGCCAGTACTATGACCTTCTGCGGCTGTTCGAGTATGGCGGCTTCCCTCCAGAGAGCAACTACCTCTTCCTGGGGGACTATGTGGACCGAGGCAAGCAGTCGCTGGAGACCATCTGTCTGCTGCTGGCCTATAAGATCAAGTACCCTGAGAACTTCTTCCTGCTCCGTGGGAACCATGAGTGTGCCAGCATCAACCGCATCTACGGCTTCTATGATGAGTGTGAGTCGGCTGCGTGCCTGGGGCTGCCCCAGCTGGTGGGCCCCTCACGTTGGCTTGGTGGTAGGGGCCTCCGCCATCTGACAGATACCTGCTAGACTCTGGCCATGGGGCCTGGTGGTCAGGAGGGTGGTTGCTGACTGAAGAGCTGACCACATTCTAATGCAGGGCCCTGTCTGGTGACACTTTTTCTAGTACATCCATTACTTAAGCATTTAGGATGCTTATCTGGATTGGACTCTGCTGGCCAGAAGCTGAGATAAACCAGAGCTGGCCTTGGCCTGTCCCTTTTCTACCAACCCTGATGTTGTTCCAGATGGGAACTCAGGGGTTCGGTGGACTCGGCTGCTTTAGAATTCCTCCTGGAAGGCCGGCAGGCAGTGGGAGGGGGGCCTTTCTTGCCCTCCAGGCTCTTCTCCCAGCTGAGTCTGGGAGGCCCTGAAAGGCCGAGACCCAGGTGGAGGGTGGCGTGGGTGAGCCTCATGAGCCATCACCCTCCTCTGGGCAGGCAAGAGACGCTACAACATTAAACTGTGGAAAACCTTCACCGACTGCTTCAACTGCCTGCCCATCGCTGCCATCGTGGATGAGAAGATCTTCTGCTGCCACGGAGGTGAGGGCAGCTGGGGGCATCTGCTGAGGGAATCTGCAGAAAGAGCCTGGCCACATCCCTGGGTGCCTTGGAACGAAGCTGTTAGCTGGAGGATGTGTTCCCAGTCGTTTGGAACAGATCTCTCTGGTGTCTGGACGTGGACGTCACTATTTGCAGGATGTCCCCCACTCCCAGTGTTTGGCTGCACTCTCCCTGTTGTGGCTTCGGCGTTGGGCATGGAATTTGCACGCAGTCCCCCTTTTTAGGGAGCGCTGAGCACCTAGTGGGCAAGGACTTGGGGCAGTTAGCCGAGAGTTCTGCCTGCCTGGGTTCCCAGGGGTCCCAGAGAGGGCTGGGAGGCAGAGGCTGATTGGCCAAGATTTCTGGAGGAGGGGGGTCCTTGAGGCTTGTCTGAAGAAGTGACCTGCCGCCTGTGCCCCCAGGCCTGTCCCCGGACCTGCAGTCTATGGAACAGATTCGGCGTATCATGCGGCCCACAGATGTGCCTGACCAGGGGTTGTTATGTGACCTGCTGTGGTCCGACCCCGACAAGGACGTGCAGGGCTGGGGCGAGAACGACCGTGGTGTCTCCTTTACTTTTGGGGCCGAGGTGGTGGCCAAGTTCCTGCACAAGCACGACTTGGACCTCATCTGCCGAGCGCACCAGGTGGGCTGGCAGCTCTGGTCTGGGTGGGAGCAGGGCCTGGGCAGCCAGCACCCGCTGAACTAACTGGCCCATCCTTGTCCAGGTGGTAGAAGATGGCTACGAGTTCTTTGCCAAGCGGCAGCTGGTGACACTCTTCTCAGCTCCCAACTACTGTGGCGAGTTTGACAATGCAGGCGCCATGATGAGTGTGGACGAGACGCTGATGTGCTCCTTCCAGGTGAGGATGGGGAAAGGGAAGCAAGGGGCTGATGGCCCCATGGCTCAGCCTCAAGAGCCTGACTAGTTTTGTCTCTTTTAGATCCTAAAGCCCGCCGACAAGAACAAGGGGAAATATGGGCAGTTCAGTGGCCTGAACCCTGGCGGGCGGCCCATCACCCCACCCCGCAACTCCGCCAAAGCCAAGAAATAGCCTCCATGTGCCCATCCTCTGCCCCAGATGGTGGATTGTACAGAAATCACGCAGCCGTGGGGGGTTGTGCTGGCCCCCTAGACCTGCTTGTCAAGGGAACACAGGCTTGGTGTATTTTTTTTTTTAAAATTAATGAATCAGCAGCATCCAATCCCCCAGGGCTCCCTCTGCCTGTGCCCCGGTGGCTGCAAGCAGGATCCTGGGGCTGAGGCTGCAGCTCAGGGCAAAGCAGGGCCAGATTGTGGGTCTCCAGCCTTGCTTGGCCTCAGGGCTGGCAGCCAGATCCTGGGCAACCCATCTGGTCTCTTGAATAAAGGTCAAATCTGGATTCTCGCCCTGGCCTGTCTCCCTTGTCTCAAACACTGGGCCTGGCATCCTTCTGCCCAGAGCTACTGGGGAAGGCAGGCTCACTGGGCACGAGGCCTCAGCCAGGGCAATCCCAGCCACACATTAAGGTCCACTTGGGGCACCTAGAATTCCAAGCCAGGGCCAGAGAATTGAGAAAGCAAGAGTAACAGTCTGTACCAGCCAAGAGGGACCCCAGAGGTGTGCCTAGGATTTGAGGGACAGTCATGATTGGCAGAGATGAATCGACAGGGGCCAGCAGCCCCACTGTGATTTTTTTTTCTTAGGGAAGACGTGTGTCCAGCTCTGGCCACGTGGAGGAAGAGGTCAGGGACCTCCTATCAGGTGCCCCTCCCTTCAGTGCCAAGCTTGGAAACAGACATGATTGGTTGGGGATTGGGGGGAGATGACAGAACCAATAGCCAGATGGGGCCTAGGGATAGCGGGACCAGTCAGCTCTTGCCACCCGCCCCTGGCTGGCACTGGGAGAAGTGGGAAGCTGTGGCTTCAGCGAGTCCAGGGCCTGTGGACGCAGACGAGGTTCTCAGTTCAGCCTTCGCCCTCGCTGTCTTCAGCCAGCACGGGGCTGGGGCCCTGCGGGGAGTGTGCCGGGGCCAGGATGGAGCCAAAGAACAGCGAACGGAACTGGAACAGGCGACAGTGAGTTATGGAGGCTGCTCCCTCCTGGCCTCCCAACCCCTGCCTCCACCTCAGCCCCTACCTTCTTGGGTGGGGGTGTCCCAGGCACTGCACTGGGCTCAGCTTCATCTTCCTCCTCTGAGTTGGGGCCACAGTTACAGGGGGGCTGGAGGCCAGGTGAGAGGGAGTTGGAGGGGAGTGTCCGTGAGCCCTCACTGGCCACAGTGGTTTCCATGGCGATCATGTAAGAGTCAATGTCGTCATTGGCAAAGTCGTCCGGGTAGGGTGTGCTACAGGTGGAGGTGGTGTCAGCAAAAAACAGAAAGAAGACTGTGCAGAGGCAGAGCCCACCTTGGAGAACGGGAGGGGGCAGCGGGGTGGGCGTGACCACGGGGGATCTCTTAGTTTTATTACTTCCTGCTTTCGTTGGAGAAGAGAGGATGCAGGGGTTAAGTGCCGGCTTCCTGGAGGGGGTGGGCCTGGAATCCTTTGATCAGAGTTCAGGTAGGGGCCTGAGGGAGGCATCCTGGGGGCTAGTTTAGCTCAACAGGGGGAGGGGAGCAGCAAGTCCTGTGAACTGGGCCACCTCAGGCCCAAGCCCCCACCTTCCCAGGGGACAGGAACTGGAAAGCACTGAGGCCCAGGGACCTGCTGGGCGGGGGGCCAGACCGAACTTCCTCTGCTTCAACTACACTGGGCCCGTCCTCCCCAACCCACCTGCCCTTCCAGCCACCTGCTTCCCCCACCCCAGGCATCTCCCTGCTTCCAGCAGCCCCCTTTCTCTCCTTGGCCTGGGAGGAGGCTCAGAAGGGAGGCCTCAGCCAGAGAAGGAAGCCAGCCCGACCTGGGGGAATACTCCCTGGGTGGGGGGGATCTCTCAGCACAGCTGACCAGGAAGGCTGAGCCTGTGGGGCTGGAAGCTGTGAGCACTGTAGGGCCTGGGGCCTTACAGGAAGTGTCTGTGCTGGGAGAAGGGAGGAGGTACAGAAGCTGGAAGCAGCAGGCTCAGGCCTGGGTACACAGAGGTGAGGAGGAGGGGGCTGGTGGGAACCCTCACCTGTGAGCCTGGAGCTGAGGGGCTGGCTGGTGGAGCTCCGGGGAGTGTGGGGATGGCTCCAAGAGTGTGGCCAGGACAAAGTGGCCGTCCAGCAGAGAGTCCTTAATAGCGAAGATGGCTGGCCTGGGCAGGTGATGAGTCCCGGACAAGGTCAAGGCCCTTCGGCTCCTGGCACCCCACAGCCCTACCCTTTCCCGTCCTGAGACTGGAAAATTACCTGCCCGGAGCATCGAAATGAATGCTAAGAGACAAGTTTGCTGACTCTGCGAAGCTCAGGAGCCCCTGGGAAGGAGAGGCAGAGCAGTGAGGCCCTGGGTGGGGCAGTGAGGGCATGGGAGGGGCAAGGAGGGCATGGGAAGAACCTCACCCGGAATTCTTTAAGGCAGAAAGTGATGGCCACCCCTTCTTGAGCCTGCAACTGCTGGAAATCCTCCTCCCCGATGCTTATCTCAGTCACCATGGCTTTGACAGTGCTGTCTGTGGGGACAGGAGCAGGAGACACCTGGGCCCATTGGTCCCACCCCCTCCAGCCCCACGCTGTGCCCGTCCCAGGCCATGTTCGGCCCCCTCACCTGCCTCCTCCTGGTAGCTGCGCAGAATGACCCTGCGGCCACGGCCAATGCCCAGAGTCACTTCGGCCAGTGCAAGGGGGAAGGGCAGAACAGCCTCTCCCAGAAGCCTGTGAGGAGGGCAGAACATTATTCCCAAGGCCCAGTGGCTTTGCTCTCAGAGGACCTGAGGCAGGGCAGTGACACGCACCAGCACTGAAAGGGAACTGCCATAGGCCACGCCTAACATGCCCCAGGAAGGAGACAGTGAGCAAGACATGGTCCCTGCCCCAACAAAAGCTTCCCAGCGGCCGTGGGAGAGAAGTCCACTGCAGGGGATGGGATGACAATCGCCGAGTCCAGAGAAGGCAGCAGGAAAGATGCACTGTTTGCACTGGACCAAACTGGGTTGGCAGCACCTGCCCATCCAAGAGTGGGAAACCACGCCCATACTGCCCCTAGAAACTCGGCTTTCAGAAAGAACCCTTAAAGCCTTGTCTTTTAGGGATACGTGGTGATACATATTTACAAATGAAATAACATCTAGAATTTGCCTCAAGACAATTAGGACAGGAGCTGGTGTGTTTTCATATGTATCTGAAATTGTTTGTAAGAAAATGAAAAACAATTGTTTATTAAAAAAAAAAAAACAGCCTCAAAATTCAGATCAGAGGTGATGGATGGCCTTCTCTCTTTCTCTACCCAAAGGAGACCTGAACAGCGCTATCAACAGAACTCAGAAAACCAGACTGTCAGGACCCAAAGGGACCTTCGAGTTACCAAGTCCTGTGGCTACCAAAAGAAATGAATAAGACCATGGCTATTTGAATGCCAAGAGCATCCAGCAGGGGTAGGAGAAGAGCCATTCCTCTCTGCACTGGTCTTCTCCAGGGACCTGCGCCTCCACTGGAGGAGTCCCCATCTCCTGGGGCGGGCACAGCCCTTGGATGCTCAGATTGCCCAGAATGGCTCCAGCCCCACAGCTGCTGGTTCAGGCAGCACTCCTGGACAATGATCTCACAAGTCCCCTGCCTTGGCCCGGGGACTCCTAAAGGCTAGAGCCTGGGCAGGGAGGAAGAAAGGCTTCCCTTGAATGGGGAACACCCCCAAGAGCATGATCAAGCCAAAGAAGGGCTTTGAGCCCCTGAACCACAAAGCTTAAAGACAGACCTGCAAGGCTGCTTAGGCCAGAGACCTGCTCCCTAGAAGAGAAGTCAGAATAGATGTGACCGGCCAGAACACGAAGGCAGCCCCTCAGGGTGGACAATACAGGCACCCCACTCTCCCCTACTCAGCCTCAGCCCTTAAAGAGCCAGACAAGAACTTGAGAGCAAACTGGGCTGGGTGAGCACTGAGGTTCACAGAAACCCTGTAGGAGAAATGGTAGAAGTGCCTTCTTAAATTAATCCTTGAGGCCCCAAAGATGGAAGACAGAGATCCAGGGCTCAGCTTTTAGACCCTAGTAATTTAATACCTACTTTGCCGGGGCCCGGAGCACATGGGGGCACGAGGATGGGTCGAAGACAGCCTGCAGGGACTCGCAGTCCTGGAAGGACAGGTTGTGAGTCTTCTTCACCCCTGACATGGGCAGAGAGGGTCTCAGTGGGCCTTGCCAACCTTCACCCCACACCCCAGGAACCCCCTGGCTGGCCAGCTGCCCACTCACCGTATTTGCAGTGCAGCTGGATCACCAGGAAGCTGTTCCTGCCGCTCAGGGAGATACAGCATTTCTCCACGGTCTTCTCCAGCATCACCAGTGAGCGGAAGACGGACAGGAACGACTGGGTAGAGGAAACGTATCAGGCCAGCCCTGTGCCTCCACCAACCAGCTCTCACCTCTGAACTCTGTAGGCCCTGGCCCATCATGCGCCCAGCACTGTCACACCACGAAAGGACTCCCACACTCGGTGGGATATTTACACACTTCTAGGCCTTTGTTCACGCTGTTCCCCATCTGGAATGCCTTGAAAGACATTCCAGATGGGGAACATCTTGAGTGTCATCACTCTCTCCAGGTTCCTGGCAGGATCAATCACCCTCTCCACACGTGCCATTCCTCTCTGCAGATGTCCTCACTGTGTCCCCCGCTGCACCGCACACCCAGCCGCTCCCGCACACAGCTCTCCCCAGTGAGCATTACTGGTGGCCCAGAGCAGGCACAGTGCTGGTGGAGGTTCCTGGAGGGCTGCGATGCCGCGGCTGAGGGGAGGGCCTCACCTTCATCAGGATCTTACAGCGCAGCGGGTCCTCACCAGGGGTGGCCGCCTGGTACAGCTGGAAGAAGAGCGGGGCGAAGAGGAAGCAGGCATAGGCAGAGCGGGAGGAATTCACCGTCCGGAGAGAGAGCTGGGCCGGGAAAAGCAGGGAGAGGGATGCGGTCAGGGGCAGCAACAGGCCCAGCCTGCTAGCCCGCTCTTGCTCGCACACCTGCCCTCACGTCCTCCACAATCCCCTTCCAGTCATCGGATACCTGCTCCGTGACGCCTTCCCTGGGCTGGCCTCCGCACTGCTCCCGCCACTAAGGGCCCCACACGGCCGTCGGCACTCTGCCTTTACCACTAGTCACCCCCACCTGTCACCCCGCACTTCATGGAGAGCGACTGCTCTCAATTCACACACAGGCCTAGGAAGATGACAAACTGACGCCCCAGCACCGGGGGATGGGCACTGAAACTCAGCTGACAAATCTGTCCTCGGTCATCCTGCCCGGTGGAGGTGAGACTCAAGCCCAGGTTAGGGTCCCTGTTGGAATCCCACCCACCCACATAACCCCACCCCCTCACCCCGTCGTCCAGGGGCTCCAGGTAGAGCTCGTCCCCAATGCGGGATAGAGAGTGGACGGCCTTGCCCAGCACTGCGAGGGGAAAGGAGAATCGGGTTAAGCTGACGCTTTGGGGTGTCCCATGTGCCCCCGCCCCCCCCACCCGGCCAGCCCCAACTCACCCTTCACGTTGCCGCCCGTGACCAGACACTTCATGGTGCCCCAGCACCCGCACGGGGCCTGGCCTGCGACCGGGCTAAGGCTGGCGGCTGGCCCGCAGCGGGACCCCAAC